GAGTCACTCATTGATAGTAATAAGTAGCTTATTACTAAATTAAAAAAACAACCATAATATTGGCTGATAAACTTAATTGTGAATAACTTATAAGAATAGTTTATCCTAGTTTCAATGGAATAAAGGTTGAGTAAGAACAATAAAGGAGTGATGGGTAAGACTGCACTAGTAGATCACCTTAAAGTAACTGATAAATAGCTCACGAAAAGGACAATGCAAGTCTTTCACTTCAGAATTAACCAGACTTTAAACGAGTCACAAGCATGATTTAAGTATCAAGGGTTTCATCATGTACTAGTTCATTGTGCTGTATTGCACGAGAGACATGTCCACTGTAAGTTTAGTTTGCGTTTATACAAAGATGGTTCCACAAATGCTTGGCCATGAAGTTTACTATTCTTACCTATCCCAACAATATAATTTTTATTGATTTTTGGAAATTTTAAACTCTTTTATTGCTACTAGTATTAGTATCATAATGCCAATTTTATTAATATAAATAGTATTGGAAAATAATATCCTGAAAATCCAAGAAATTGGGAAATCAGGTAAGGTCTAAATCTTTGGTGGCTGAGAACTTAAGTCCATTTGCGTGTAACAAAATTCACAAAAAAGTAATAGACAGGACATGTATTCATGGTCAATGGATTCAATGGATTTAAGTGTCAGATTTAACTGAAAATCCATAGATGCATATTAACATTGAAACATACTGAAGGCAACAACTGTTATCAACTGTTATTAAATTGAATTGTTCTCCCTCTACTAAACTTTTAAATAATACTTTTTCTTCTAATTTGTCAGGTTGACAAAATTTAGAGCCAAGCATAACACATTTTAAGAGGAACATTTCTTCTCTCAGAATCTCTATTGGTCAGTTCCAAAACATACGTACTCATCTTTAGAAAGAAGGAAGAACATGTACCATTTTACCATGTAAAATACTTGATCAAGAAATGGTGAAATAAAACAGTATTTGACATGTAATTTACTGGAACAACTTTTACACCAATCTAGACCTAATATACTGTACATACATACACACCATCTTAATATTGACTTATGCACTGATTAAAACATTTACACTTGGACAAAACTTGGTAATTGGGAAGGACAAGCCAGACTGATGACCTCTCTTGAAAAAACACGTCTTTTAAACGTTCAGACACTAAGTTGAGTATTGGCTACATGGAATCACAAACATCCATTGGTGGGGGGTGGGGGTATAAGGGAAAAGAAGAAATGAACCTAAAATGGTGTCCTTCGTTTACTAACCAGATAATGGTGCGTGAAATTAAGCCACTTAAATTCTTAGTACTGATTAGTCTTTGATTCTATATACTAGAGACTCGAGAGAATCTTATAATGACATAAATCCTCACAATTTCACACATACATTACATCTATCTTTAAGGGAAGTGGAACCTAAAACCTACTCAACAAAACAATAGGTTTTACATACTTGGCAAAGGACTGGAATGTTCACTATTTGAAGACGCAGGCTTCAAAACCTACAGCATCAATAAATATCCTAAATGCTTAATTGTGCTTTATAAATAGTTCCAATCTTTTGTTTTACTACAACCATATGCGTATTTCTCTTTTTCTTACAGATTTAACCAGGCAAGATTTAATGACAGACTTTTTAAGCCATGATATGTGAATATAAACCCCTTAGTAGCCAAGACATTTCTTCACCTTGATTGTACATGGTGGCCAAAAATAAACGAACATAAAAACTATGACCTCTCTTTTTATTGCAATATGCAGCATGTCACTTCCCCTAAAATAACATAATCTGAATATCTACAAAAGACTTTGATAATATATCTGAAGATAAATATTATACATATTAACAACCTTGTAAAAAACAATTACAACTAAAATCACTTCCTAACTTGGATAATCCCATACATGATGACACGCAGAAATACTGAAGCATTTACTATATTAACAAATGTTCGAGTTTCCAATACCAATGTTTCTTTTCTGCTAGATGCATTATTCTAGCAATGCATTCTATGGTGTGTTCAAAAAGCATCAAGCTTTATTATCCTAAATGAAAAGGTTGGTTGGTCTCCTCTAGTCACAACCTCATTTTAAGATAATCCAATATTTTCTTTACATAATCTTGTCTTTATTCAATGGCAAAATGGCCATGAGACCATTTCTGAAACATGTAAAACTTCCTGCTTCCTTTATGCTTCCCTACCTTAAATGACGGACACCAACTGCACACTCCTTTAACATGTGGTTGATACACTGATTAGTCAACCAAGATTTCTGCACAAGGCCTCTGTGTGTGTGTGTGTGTCTGTCTGTCTTTGGCAATTTAGGAATTATCAAAGTTAATTAATTTAAATTTTTTGTTATTACCCAAGTTCTAGAATTACTGCTTATTTATAAACAATGCATTCATTACAGGAAGGTAAACAATAAATATCTAATTACATAATCTATGTTTGCAGATCAACACTTCACCCGTAACCAATGCAGTTCTTGCCATACAACATTTCCTTACACTGTGTTCGCCAGCAAGTTACATGGTGCTAGCAAAAACTCAGTATAAGACTATTAGATTCTGAATCAAAATTTTGTACCTCATTACAGAACTTTCCTCTCTCCTAGCAGTATTCAGAAAATGAACAGTAATTTCTTCGGGTAAGATATTCCAGCAATGGTTTCCCCTTCCCCCAGTTGATAAAAACAAAGATTATGCCAAATGATCAGCTAGCACCACTGTAACACAAACCCGCCACAATGTACGAAAGTTCTCTTTTCAAATCAATCTTGGTATTTCCATTCCAGGCAGGTCTAGGTAGGTGGGCATGCCAGGAGTATGACACTGCCTTTGTAAAATTTCCTTGCGTTTAAGACGATGAAGTCTTGGTGTACAGGTAGATAGCCACAATAAGACCGTACAGACCCAGCACCTGGAAAGGGAAGGGAAACATTAATGTATTTACGTAATAGAATAGAGGGGCTATATATTGTGGAAAAATATTCAGAATAATTAGGAAATTAATTAGATATAAAACAAATTTACATGTAAGAAAATTTCCCCACATTATGCCATAGTTGTGACATAAGATTACTTTTTTCATACTGAAAAATGAAAACATTAAAGGGGGCACATTTTCTACGGTATAACACATGGGCCATGGTTCACACGGCACCACCAAATGGACACTTACACTGGAGTGCTTACAGATTACTTCATGCTATGCCTTAATAACACTATATAATAGAAAAATATTATTCTAACCATTAAAAAATTAATAATCTGAGCTTGGTCTCTCTCTCTGGCTGTAAAAATAATAATTTCCTTGTGCCTAAACTACTGCTACTGGCAAATGTAATAAATTTTAATCCTGTACAGTTCATGACACTCGTAACGTTTACACAAAAAGATCTTCATTAGGTAATTAAATTTATAACACAAACCAACCACATGAACTTATAATGTCTTAGTAACACTAAATTCTCTAAGAATCCTTTTCAAAACTAAAAATTAATTTTGATCTGCTCCTTACAAATCAGTTTTCAACACTTGTTCAAGGTTACACATAAGGTTGACATAATAAAAATCTTACACACCAGTCTGTATTATAAAATTTTCATCTCCATTTCTCTCTAAAAATTTTTATCAATAATAAAAAAAAAAGTTCAAACCACCTCCCTTTACAATTTCCCTTCCACAACTTACCTCAGCGAAAATGAGGATGAGGATCATGCCTACAAACAGTCGTGGCTGTTGTGCAGTTCCCCTCACACCTGCATCACCGACAATGCCAATGGCAAACCCTGCAGCCAGACCAGACAGGCCAACACTCAATCCAGCTCCAAGGTGGACAAATCCTCTGTAAAGGCAATTCCCATTAGTGGAAATAGACAGTACACTTCAAAGAATTTCTATGGAGACATCCAAACTTTTGACATCACTGCATCTTGAAACTACTTAATGCCCATATACATCAAGTGAAATTGAATTGAAAAAGCAATAATTTCCACTTTAAACAAAGGTTCTGGTATAATAATGATCAACATAAATGTAAAAATTAATAAAGGGCAAAAAGGCAAGAGGTCACACAAACCCAATATTTGACATCAAGATGTGGTTAACCTCATCTCAAAGGTGTTATATGACTGACTATCTCACGAGGACAGCACTTACTGGTACAAGGTGTAGCCTTTGCTGGCAGCATCAAGCTTTCCAGCAATGAGCACAGCCACCACAAGTCCATAAATAGCAATGATACCAGCCATGACAACTGGGATGATGCATTTCATGATCAGCTCTGGCCGCATGACGGACATGGCCGCAATGCCCACGCCGGACTTTGCTGTGCCATAAGCAGCTCCCAGGGCTAGAGAGAGGAAGAAAGAGAGGAAGTTATTTTCGAGACTTTTCAAACGAAAAGATTTACTGGTTGGTAGTTTCATCATAAACACGACAGATTACTTCTATATAAATTTACAAATGTGATGGATGAGGAGGAAGAAGACAATTAATAGTAAATTTGTTAAAATAAACTAGTTTTTAACAAATCCTAGAGTCAAGGCATTAATCAGTGACCACTAACTGCATATAATACTTGAGGGTATGCGTGCTCATGTTACAGTGATGGTTCAAACGGCCATGTCATGAAAAAATTTGGCCGAGCGTCAGGGTGATAAGAATGACTCGCTACAATTGCACAAAGCTCTTGGAAAGTGATTAAACTTAGTGGGTATTAAGAAAGGGGCTCTTGCATTACTCCTATTGGTAAACTCATGTGGAATGTTCCACTTGCAAGATATAGTGAAGAGCACTGGCTCCAAGGAAGACACTAGTTTCATGGTAAGGATCCTATTCCTGCTCCCTGTGACCGGTGGTGCTCATTGCATTACAGAAAATTATTTACCAAACAATAAAAAAAAAGACACTATTAATATAGCACTGAGTTATGTACCACCTAGAGATATGCTTTGAAGTCTGTGCAAGGAAAAGTCCATCTGGATACAGCATATAAAATGACAAATGTAAACACTGGAAAATGATGGGAGGAGAAGACTTGTGCAGAAAAGAGATACAAGATTGCAAAGGGGACGTAAAGAGTTCTGACACTGCGTGAGTCGGTGAGAGTGGCCACTCAAATAAGCCTAATACATGGAAGTTGGGCTAAATGTGGCAAAATATTTAATAAAGGCTTGGTCTGAGATCCCCTTTAGATGTGAACTTGTTAGGAAATCAAAGTTCAATGTAAAAAAAGAAACTCTAGGAAAGGTGAAATTCGGCAAGATTATGAGGTCTACTTATTACCTCCTTGGTGGCTGAGCACTTGTGGAGTCATCAACGTTTAGGGACATTTCATAACTCAATGCTACAGTGAGCACTAAAGAAAAAATAAAATAGCCCAATTAGGCATCACAAATAAATGGCAAAAGGTAAGCCTATAGTTGCTTACACACGTCAAGACTTTAAGGATCTGTACCTATGCCACCATATACTTCCTATCTCCCCCCCCCCTCATACTTTTGGAAATCATTTGTGAAATTATTAACTCTCCTTGACAACTTTCCAAAATTGTGATTTTTCAAATGCGAATTACTAACATTAACTTGAATTTTTTGTATTCAAAACCCCTGGTATTCTAAAGAATGCCCCCAAGCTTGCTTGTTTGGGACTTTCATTTTGAAGTTCTAACCAATCTCAGGGAAGAAGACTTGCACAAGTCAACCCAGACCCAGACTCTGAGTGAAAGAGAGAGGGAGAGGGAGGGAGAGAGGGAGGGAGGAGAGAGAGAGAGAGAGAGGGAGAGAGGGAGGGAGGGAGGGAGGGAGGGAGAGAGGGAGGGAGGGAGGGAGGGAGAGAGGGAGAGAGGGAGGGAGAGAGGGAGAGAGGGAGGGAGAGAGGGAGGGAGGGAGAGAGGGAGGGAGGGAGGGAGGGAGGGAGGGAGGGAGAGAAGGAGGGAGAGAGAGAAGGAGGGAGAGAGGGAGAGAGGGAGGGAGGGAGGGAGGGAGGGAGGGAGGGAGGGAGGGAGGGAGGGAGAGAGAGAGAGAGAGAGAGAGAGAGAGAGAGAGAGAGAGAGAGAGAGAGAGAGAGAGAGAGAGAGAGAGAGAGAGAGAGAGACAGACAGGCACAAAGCAACAAAAAATAGTGTTTACAAGTTTTCTAAATCAGCATTAGTAATAACTATCCACTGATTAGAATAAAATAAGACGAATCTGGACACACCAAAGTCCGAGTTGTCAGTTGCCTGTTTTTCCTTTCCTGAGATTGGATGCACTATAAACATAAAACCAACCACTAAGGTTATCATTTACTAAATATTAACCAAATATTTTTCATGCTAATAAAACAGAAAATAAGGGCTTCCTTTACTACAAAAAACCTATACATGGAATTCTTGTTATTCTTTCTCTATATGGAGCTGATATCTATACAATAAATAACAGTACCCTACATCCAATCTGTGTCATCTAGGATGATACAAACTTTCTGCCATGAATATTTTGGCTGAAGGCCGGGTGATGGGAAAGATTCGCCATGAATGCACAAACCTCTTGGACTCACTTGGCATTTACAAAGGGGCTTTTGTATTATTTCCATCAATAATGAGCGTGGAAAGTAATGTCTGTGAACCATGACTGGAAGGGCACCGAATCCAGGGAGGACCCATTTCCAGCATCCTATAACTACCACTGTGACCAGTGGCACAGGTTGTATTACAGAAAATTGAATATTATGAATCCTTAGAAATTACACAAATAACAAAATGTTCTTCATTATTAGCATTCTTGCTCTAGAGATATGATATAAAGTCTGTGCAAAGAAAATAGTCTATTACCTTCTCAAAAAAACAAGTCAAGTACAAACATGGTTATTGGAAAATAACAAAAAAGCTAAAAATTCTTGTGTATAAAAAGAGGCAATAACACTGCAATGGAGAGGTATACTATCTTGTCACTATACATGAATGTTTGCATGTGCCCAATTTACGAGCCATGCACCTATTAGAGCAGCCGCTCACATAAGTTTAATAATTATTTTGGGTCATGGGATTGCTATGACGCAACTGGATCCAACGGGTTAAAATCACACTTAATGACTAAACCCTACTTTATTATAGAAAAAGTTATACAAAACAGAAATGCAAATGCCACATTCTGAAATATGGTTTAATCATACACACAACACACGGGTACGGTGGGGTTGACTGTTGGCATGTGACAGAGGCAACGGGATGGAGAGTCAGTATGTATGCGTCAAACTCCCAGGTAGGCACGGTATCTATCATGGAGGTGGAGGGGGTCAGTAAATCACTCCTACCAACGCTTAATTTTGCATATTTTCCTATCAAATGAGCTCACTGAATGTTGCCGGAAAAGTTAAAATTGTTCTTGGTAAAAAGGAAAGGAAAGGAAAACCATAACACTTTCAACATTTATTCCTGTTCAGTATTTCCAATTCATTCTAGAGTCAAATGTGTGGATACTTAGCTTTGGGTGTGTTTGAGTACCCCCCCCCCCCAGAGAGGGAGAGGGAGAGAGAGGGAGAGGGAGAGGGAGAGGGAGAGGGAGAGAGAGAGTGAGTGAGTTTAATTGTAGTTCTGACAAAGATAAATAGGGCACAACTTAGAACTGACATGAAAACCTAGTTTATTGATTACCAATATTGGAAAACTTGATGAATATGATAGATAATACTTGGGTCTCAGGAACTGGGGTGACTTACATTAATAAGTTACATTTGCTAGATTGGATTGCAGGTACAAGTTAAGGCAACAATATTTATGGAATATTAAGCAACAACAATGGAGTACAATACATTTCAAATTTAATGGATACAAACCAAAAATTGACTGACTGATCAAATTATATTTATTTATTTATCATTAAATAAATAAATATAATAAATTTTAAAATAAATTCTCCAGATAGGAAAATAGAAAAAAGTCAGTACCTTTACCAACTGAGCCATCTTTCACTTATTTTTAGACAAATTAGATCTCAGTAGTTAACTGTTTATGACGTTTTCTATTAACATACTGCAATAAGCCCCGGTGGACATTTTCTATCTCAAAATATTTCATAATTGCTACAAAGCCAATTTTTTTTTCTTATAAATTATTGAATATTAATGCAAATCTAAGTCAAAATCAGTAGAATCTACATATTTACTTAATTTATCTAAGTATTTCCAAAGCCTTGTGATATATATTTATCATATTTGTTTTAACTAGGTTCTGATCAAACGTTATCACTTAACTGGATCTTTGTAGAAATACGAGCATTAATGTGGAAATTAATTTAGATATTTTTTGTGGGGTAAACCTCTAAAGCAGTTTATTTTTATTTTTCTATTCTCTTAATATGACACGTGCATCTTAATCCACTCGTGTCAGGAGCTCAAGGTGCCATATTGAACCATGTGCCAAAACTTTGAAGTGAAGTGGAAAAAATATCTTTGCTCTCTCTGCTCTTTGCTGTAACAGAAGAGGCTTTATGCCTATTTTCGAGGGGCTGTTTCTCCTCAATGACTCCTACCAATGACAAACAAGCAGGCAACTATTTAGGGTGCAAAAACTAGAGCAGACTCGTCCTCTTATGATGTGATGTGATGTGGTTGGGTTAACCCCATACTGACGGGTCATGACTAGTGGCATCATAATAAACCACTCGGTATGTGGGGTACAGCTATATGCCGCAGTGATGCATGGCATCCAGCTGTTCGGCTTGATGTAGCAGACACCTACAACCAAAATCTGCTCGTTGCCATTAATTTCCAGGGTAGAATTTTTATTTAATTTCTTCACCCATCAGCGTTAGGATAACGTTTACTCATATCATAACATAATATACTGAATGGTAACATACACAATTCACTGTTATTCCGAGTCCCCCCCCCCCCCATATCACTAATGGCAGGGGATATATAGGTAGAACTGAGAATGATGAAAGGCTACTTTACAAAGGCTTTCTTTATAATACGAGTGCACTTGCCATAGTCCCCAACTCAATGTTAAAAAATTTATTCAACAATATAATTTGCTGTGACTGTCCTTTGGGCACTGCCTGAGGGGAAAGTTGATGGATGGCTCTCACTAGGTCAGGCTAAGAAAGTATGGTAATTGAATGGGCCCAAACTCATAGTTGGGTAGGTTAATTGTTTATTTAGCAATGTTTGTGGATTCCCTAAGGTTGCTGGCATGAATAATAGGGAATGTTTCAGAGGAAAATAGTCACTTTCTAAATAATTATCACAGACTTTGCCTAGGGGAAAAAACCTTCCTTTGCTTTTATTTTTTCATTTCTAAAGGTGGTGTTTTACAAGCTAATTCTTTACAATACAGACACATTTGCTGAGGTTAAGTCACCCAATCTGACACAATCATTTCAAGAATTCAAGCTGCCATAACTGGACGTGCACTACCCAAGGGAAGGGTTGATGGGGGACTGTCTCCCACTTCCAGAAAAACTTCGCCTCAGTATACAGTGGAGTTGAAGCTGAAATTTGGATGTGCTGAGTGGACTTAGGCCATGAGTGGTGCTTTCTATGACTCCTCCTTTATTTGAGTCATTATCTTTTGTATTGCAAGAGTATATCATGTGCTGATAACTGCAACTTTTTGCCCTCTATAAGAATATCTTCAATTTGCCCCTGCTTAGTAAATCCATACTAATATATATATATATATATATATATATATATATATATATATATATATATATATATATATATATAATATACATATACATATACATATACATATACATATACATATACATATACATATACATATACATATACATATACATATACATATACATATATATATATGTACGTATGTATTTTTTATTAATAATGTGCCATTACCTTAATTTTCCTAATCTTTGTGCATTCAGAAAATTTACGATTTCATTTTCAGTGTAGTTCTGAAGTACTGGTATGATATCCATATTTCCATAGCCACCACTTAATTTTGTTTATGTTGTCAAAGAGTAACAATTATAAAGATTAATGCAGTCCACCTCTAAAATGATTGTGAGGCTACAAAGAAAAAAAAAAGAAAAAAGACGAGGAGAGAAGAGAAGAAAAAATGAACAAATAAGAGGAACATATTCTCTGTTCTCTCCCAGTACAGTAGGCTAATGCTAATCCTTTAAATTTTTACCATCAGATTTTTATTATTGATAAAATACTATATCCAATTCTTGGTAATTCTTTATAATACAAATACACGTCCCCAACTCCACTTCTCACGTTTTATTTGACAATCTAAATTATCTTGACTGGGAGTGCCCGAACCTGAGGGGAGAGTTACTGGGGGTTTCTGTTCCCCCCCAACACTACTGAACAAACAAGGTCTTCACCTTGGTATGCACGGCAAGGTAAGAGCTTTATGTGATCTTTTTCCGTCATGTTACAGTTCATGTCTGCAGATTATTTCTTGGGCTAATGTTACCGAGAGCAATAAACAGGAGATGAGGAAAATGGACACTGCCATCTTGTAGAGCATAAAAAATAGAATACGAAGCAATACAGGTAAATCTGCAGCAGCCACATATTTCCAGATGACAAAAACAGTCTCTGAATGTCACTGCTCAGACTAAAATTTAGATTCGCCTTTGGGTGCCGTTTGCAATGGGTGTGTCCTCACCAACATCTTAGCAAGAAAGCAATTTCAAGAGAAAAACTCTCATCATCTCATCTCATAAATTAATTAAAGTGAGGAGAGACATATGGAGCTACTATACAGGGATCAAAATCTCCTTGAGTGGTAAGGATTTATTCATTTAATGGTTTTACTAGGAGTCCATTTCTTGTTAGATCAACCATCAGCTCTGTCTCAGGTCATGGTTTGGATATTAGCCCTGAAGATAATAGCTGCAGGTGTTGGATCACAGTCGTATTCCCGAGGATGTCTCTTGCTTTTACTTTGGCTCAATCTTGCCGTGTAAACGAGGTGAAGATTTATTATCCCTGGTGGGGGTAAGGGGGTGGTAGCCCACTAAAATGGGGTAAAACAGAGCTTTGCCCCCTGTTAAGGCAAATAATCAAAAACCTTGTATGTGAAATGCTGTGATGGCAGTGCTGAAAAACTCGTATAAATAGTGGTTTGCGGTTGAAATGATGGTTGAATGTGCAAAACTACGAAATCAATTAGAAAAATCTCTTTTGTAAGAAATGGCTACCCGTTCTTTTTCTGAATTATTACTAGAGATAGAAGGTAGGAAATGTTAGGTTTAAATTTTGGATTAGTATGGTATCATGGTTTTTGGACTTAGTCTCTGGAGGGTGCGTCACTTTCGGTAGCGAATACCATTTCTAGTACCTACGATAACTTTTTGTCCTCTACAAGAATACCATCTTCAATTTGCCATAGCTAAGTGCATCCATACTGTTAAGACTAACCAAATACAGTTTGTGACATTCGGTAAATCCACACCCTTGAAATACTCGATTGGGAGATCAACAATAACAGTAAAATAAAAAGCTAAAATGATCAACAATCCCAAGTTCTGATACTTCACACCAGATGGTTGCACACGCAATCATCAATAAACATCAATCACAAACAAGGCGGGCAAGTACGAGAACCAGGGGTTTCCACTGCCTCAGGCGAACCCTGGGTGGAAGCCAAACAAAGAGAGGAGATGTCAAAGAGCAAAAACAGCAAGAACATAAAAGCAAAGACACAAAAGTACCAATAACATAAAAACAAGAGAGAAAAGGAACAACAACAACAAAAGCATATATTGTATAGTGATACCATCAAATATCTTAAGGTATGTATAAACAGATACAGTGAAATTCATGGATTGTGTCTAACAATATTGAGGCAATTGTGTGGAAAGAAATAAAGACACAGAAATGGGGACAAACAGAGCATTGGCAAAAAATCAATTCCTGGAGGGCGATCTTTACGTATGGGGGGGAAAAATGACAAAAAAGTCTTGATATAAAGGTGTAGTCACTAACATAGACCGCGAAGAGTATTTACACCTTTTCTACCAACAGAATCACCAAGAGAGGCCAACAGAAGAGTTAAAAGACCAATACAAGTCCCAGACGGACCGAGAGCCCAGCCCCAACCCATACGGAACACCCACCAGATTATCCTCGCATTTTCACCATTACCCTACATCTCCCGCAATTGTAGCAGCATCCCCATAGGCCTACATTGACCGTAGTCCTCCTCCCGCACCCCAAAACCCTCCTTCGGCCATTCCTTCGGCCCAGAACCCCATCGAACAGAACCCGACGTCTCGACTTCGGCCCGAGACCCCCCGCCACAGCCAACCCCTTGGGCTCGACGTATTTCACTCACCGCTGAACACCATAGCCGCCGTGGCACCCATGGCGCCGAAGAAAGGAGAGTACACAGGTGCATCTGCCATTTCGTCCCTTGTTCGAGGTCTCGCGAGGAGGAGAGGAGGCGATAAAAGGTGCGGGAGAAGGAGCGTGTGTGTGGGCCCGGCGGAGGCAAGATGGCAGACTCGGGTTGACGTTCGGG